CACAGATATGATAGTACTTTTCAAATACTTGAAAGACAGGCATGCAGAGGAAGGGCAGGATCTGTTCCCAAACATCGCAGAGTAACATTGGGCTCTAGCCACAGGGAGCCAGGTTTCGACTGAATATTGGTAAAAACTTATCAACTGTTAGAGCAGTACAACAACGGAACCAATGACTTCAGGAGGTGGCGTGCACTCCAAGGCTGGGGGCATTCAAGAGAAGATTGGACAACTGTCTGTTAGATCTGCTTCGATTTGGATTCCTGCCTTGAGCAGATGGTTTGGCCTTAGAGGCCCCTTCCAACGCCATGATTCTAGCTGTACCTTCTGCAGACCTTACTCAAGGGAAACCCTTCAGGCGTCTCTGCGTTCCACAGAGTAAGGGCCTTCTGCTCAACATTTCTACACCTGGACTTAGCAGAAAATACTACACCTGAGAAGGCAAAAACTATCTCTTTGAACTACAGTTCCCAGACTGCTCTACTCGCAAGGCCACTGGTTGGATGGGGCATTCTGGACTTGGGAGTCTGAAAAGATAACTTTTTCTAGATAGGTAAGAAATGCATATATTCTGCCATTAGTTGTCCATGTGTGAGCTAGTGAGCCGAGTCTCCCCAGGGCCTATCCAAAATATTATTCCTAGGCTATGGGTGGGTTTAAACTATCCAGAAGGGATACTCTTTACTCCCCTTAGCCCAAAGGAGCAGAGTCAATAGAGGAGTCACCGCTCAAATGTATATGGACGATGGTTGCCTCGCTCTGCTTTAAAGATAAAACCCAGCACTCTGAAATGGATCTGGAGAGTTGGATTCAAATCCTGCCTTAGCCACAAAACTCACTGGATGACTTTGAACTGCTCTCTCTCTCTCTCTCTCTCTCTCTCTCTCTCAGCTTGACTTGACTAACCATACCTCTCAAAGTTGCAGTGAAAATGGATCAGGAAGGAAAAGAGCCATGGCTAACAGCTTGAGCAGGATGGGAATGTACCCCAAACAGCCTCATGGTGCAGCAGCTGAACTGCAGCCAAAACTGTGCTCACCATCTGGGGTTCAATCCCAGATCGCCGGCTCAGGATTCACTCAACCTTCCATCCTTCTGAGGTTGATAAATTGAGTACACAGCTTGTGCGGGGGGGGGAGCAATGTGCAGCCCACATAATTAAATTGCAATGTGTCCAGAGAGTGGTTTAAGTCCTGTGGGGTGGTATATAAGCAGCGTACCCAGAGAGTGCTTTGAATCCTACGGGGTGGTATATAAGCAGCACACATTGCTTTTTATTTTTATTTTGTACTGTGTACTATCCAAAGCATTATAACCACTGCCACCTTCCATGTATGACACATCTGTGTGCGATTATTAGAAAGGTTCTCCAGAGACCTCTTCCCAGGCTTCCCTCCCCCTCCCTTTTTGGTACACTCTACCGTCCCATTCCAAATGGCTGATGTGCCTCCTTGAGAGTTTAGTTACTGTCTGGCCAGAAAGTCAGTCTCAGCTTTAGCTTCTGCTTAAGCCTCTTTTCTGAAACAGAAAACAAAAGCCTTTAAGTTGATCTGGCCAGAAAGTCAGTCTGAGCTTTAGCTTCTGCTTAAGCATCTCTTTCCTGAAACAGAAAACAAAAGCCTTTAAGTTGCTGCCATTACTTTACACATCCATGCTGATGATTTCTGCATCTTTTTCAGAGTTCTGCTATCCAAGTTGCTCTATCTGGAGATTGTTGTTATTTAGTCGCTTAGTTGTGTCCGACTCTTTGAGGAGATTGTTGTTGTTGTTTAGTCGTCGTGTCCGACTCTTCGTGACCCCCATGGACCAGAGCACACCAGGCCCTCCTGTCTTCCACTGCCTCCCAGAGTTGCGTCAAATTCATGTTGGTTGCTTTGATGACCCTGTCCATCCTCTCTTGTCCTCTGTCATCCCCTTCTCCTCTTGCCCTCACACTTTCTCAACATCAGGGTCTTTTCCAGGGAGTCTTCTCTTCTCATGAGATAGCCAAAATACTGGTGTCCTTACAGTAAACACTCAGGGTTGATTTCCTTCAAAATGGTTAGGTTTGTTCTCTTTGCTGTCTAGGTGACTCTCAAGAGTCTCCTCCAGCACCGGAGCTACCAAGAACTAAATGGAGGAAGAGTGGACTTATACATATGGTCGCTCTTATCCAGGGTGATGCTACTCAGAGCCTAACCGGTAGCTTGCCTTAAGTAGACTTAAATTTGAAAGGGGGGCAGGAGTGAAGGAACCAGTTGTGTTGCGTAAAGTTGTGCTGCTGGAGATCAAAGTCAAGATCATGCATTTTATGGTATTCCAAATTTCTAGGCATGGGTGTGAAAGATGGACAATTAACAAATACACACGAAAAATCCATTTGAAATGGTGTGTTCAAGAAGTATTTCGGTTCTAGATCAAATAAAGACTGAACTCTAATTAGATGTTAACACAGTTCAGCAGGGGCTACTGTACTTGGAAATACAATGAGAACTTTCATGGTCAAACACTAGAATGCTGGGCAACGTTAAAGGCAGTAATGAAAGGGTAGGAGCTAACTTGAGGTGGATGGCTGAATAAAGGAAGATACAGCCTTTAGTTTGCAAGACCTTAGCAGGACTGTTAATGATAGACCTTTTGGCAGTCATTAGGCCATACTCATAAGCAGGAAGAGACTTGAAAGCACATGACGTGTATGTGTAGACAGCCATGATAGTTTGTCACAGCAAAATGTAATAGTGTATTCTTGTAGCATCATAAAGGCTAGAAGTTTTGCTCAGATGTTTTTATGGACAACAGCCCACTTCATTGGTTGCATTCCATGGAAGTTCCTAAAACTACTTCTTCTTCATCTTCACCATCTTAGAACAGCAGAGCTGGGAGGGACCATCTTCTTCATCTTAGAACAGCAGAGCTGGGAGGGACCCCCATGAATCATCAAGTCCAGCCCTTATCAAGCAGGTGCAGTGAGGAATCTAACTCCCAACCTCTGGCTCCACAGCCAGGGACCTAAACCACTGAGCTATCCATGTTAGTCTTCCAGGGGCCACGAGACTCACTCAGTGGCTTTGGCCTCTGGCTCTAGAGTCAGAAGTTGGGAGTTCGATTCCCCACTTGTGCCTCCTTGAGAGGGGCTCGACTTGATGATCCCGAGGGTCCCTTCCAACTCTGCAGTTCAAAGGTTATTATTATTTATCATCATCAGTGGCATAGCCTCTGCTTCCTATGGCCATTTTCTTCCTTGTATTTGCAAAATCTTTTTCATCAACCATGTCGTTCCCTAGATCTCTATAACGGAAACAAAGAGAAGACCCTCGCTTTTTTTTTTAATTAAATTTTAGGGGCAAGTCTAGCCACCTTTTTTGCTTCAGCCCCACCACCCAAACCTCTGAGCTACCCAGTCCCAGGCATCTCCATTTCACAACCCCAGTCTCCCCTTTCGTTTATCCAAGCCATTAGCATCCTCCACCCCCCAGTGAGACGGTTGCATTGCAAGAAGGCAGCGCCGACTGAATTGCAAATGTGTTTATTTGTCTGCTTGCATTTCCACCAGTGAAGGGGGGCGGGCTCCCAAAAACTAGCAGCACCGACTAAAAATTTTAAAAGTAGCCCGATTTGAGGAAGCCAACGTTTCTGCACGCCAGCTTGCAAGCGCTTTGCCCACGGGGGGGGGCTGGGGGAAAAGTCCCCCTTAAGGTCCCTTTCCCCCCCCCCATGAAAACAAATCATCCCACCGGTGGGGAAGGTCTCCCTTCCTCAATTTAACCCCGATCTGCGTGCGGATTGGCAGCTGCCGGGGCGTGCATGCCAGGCGGCATGTCCCTTCCTCCACCGGGCGAGCTAAGCCCCCCCCCCGCTTCCCCAGAGATGGCCAGTGACTATTACATAAGGGGCTTATGTAATGGTTGCCTCGGCCCACCTCCCTTGCTCTGATCCCGGCGAGAGCCTCCGCTCAGCGCCCAGAAGAGCAGCCGCCGCCGCCGCCTCCATTCAAGGCGTCCTTCGGTCCCAGGCTGGGAAGCGGCACCTACCACGCCCCAGGCAGGGAGGGGAGATCCCAGAGGAAGAGGAGGTTCTTCTCCAGGACCCAGGTCGGTGGAATGGGTTTTTTTGGACCCCAAGGCTGGCACTGAACCCCAATGTCCGGGAGGTAACGGGAAACGGTAGGGGGAGGTAACGGGGGAGTCTAGATTCCTTTCCTTTCCCTCTTGTCTCCCCCCCCTCCTATGGGACGAAGTGGACTCTGCCGCCTTCCTTTCGGCATGAATGAAATATTTACAAGGAAATGGAAGGGCCAAACTATTCCGAAGGGGAGGGAGGACTCCTCGCGAGGTAGAGGCTCTTGCGACGCAGCGTGGCCGGCCTTGAAGATCCTTTCTCTTCAAAGAAAGGCCCTCAGGGGAAACTACTCGTCCTTCGGAAACGGCCACTCGCCCGTTCGGCTTTCCAGGCCACGCTTTCCTTTCCTTCTTCTCCCTCCCCCTTTCAACGTGGTATGTCCCGCTCCTCTCGCTCCCTCCCCCGCCCCTCCGGCGTGCGGGCGAGGCGATTGGCCGACCGGTTTTTAAAGGAGCAGGCGAGGCGCGCTTTTTTTTTCCACCCTCCGACCTGGCGTTCCCTCCACCGACGGCCGCTGTGTGTGTGTGTGTTTTCTCCTTCTCCTGCAGCTTTTTCGGCGGCGG